TTTGCAGCAGCTCGGACAAGGCGTTGATGTAGATCTGGGCCATCTGCAGGGTCTCGTACTTGGACAGCTTCTTGTCGTTGTTGAAGGACGGGATAACGTTGCGCAGCTGGTCGAAGGCGTGGTTCAGCCCGTGCATCCTGCGTCGCTCCCTGGCGTTGGCCGCCAGCCGCCTTTGCTTCTGGACCCCGTTCACCTGTTTGCTGGAAGGGGCGCGCTGGCGGCTGCAGCCCAGCTCATCTACCATCACCCCGCCTTTCAGCTTGCACAGCTGTTCCCGCACTTTCACGGGGCCCGGGCTCTTGCTACTGCCGCTGCCGCCGCCGCTCCTCCTCCCCAGTCGGGGGAATGCAGCAAGTACTGGGCGGCGCGTGCCGTGCAGATGCCCTGCAAAGTGGGAGCCAGCCAGGCGCGTGGGTCTGTGCCGTCCAGGAGGGACAGCTCGGCCGGGTACACGGGATGCTCTCTCGTCTGCAGGGTCGCAGGTGGCTGTGGCGGCTGCGGGAGGTGGTGCGGCGGGGGATGGCGATGGTGGGCCCCTAACTCCTTCACTTCAGCCCACTCTTCTACGTGCAGCAGGCGGGACATTGCACTGCAGAGGCTCGGAGGCTCGGAGGCTCGGAGGCGAAGGAGGGACTGGCAAACCGGCTCCACAAAAAAAAAAAAAAAAAAAACACCCTTCCCGGGTCTCTACTGCAATGTCTTATTTTTTTTCCTCCTCGACCCTCCCCCACCCACTCTGAGATCACACACCAGGTCGCGTGCAACGAAGCTTCTCCGGTTGCTGAAGGCGCTGCGCCCCTTTAAAAAGCGGCACGCGCCAGAGTGGCTCCCCTGCTCCTCTCCCAGCCCCCTCCTCGCGCCGGTCGCGTGTCTGCTCAGCCAATGGAGGGCGCGGGCAGGCGCGTGCGAGCAGCCAATCAAAGAGTTTTTACACCCGGAGAAAAGTTCCTGCGCCCGAAGGACCCGGGCGCCAGTTCTGGGGCTGCCCGCCCCCCCTTCCCCCCGCCTCCTGTCTTCAGGTTCGTTGAATTCATATGTTAATTGCGGGTTGTAATCCGACTCCCGTGTAG